TTTTTTTTTTTTTTGCATTAAAAGGTCAAAGTGATTTTTTTTTTAAATATTAAAGAGATGCTGCGATTTGACTTTAAAGCTGTAGTAGGCAGAATCTGTAGAAGGTTCTTAAAAAAAATTGCAAACAGCAGCAGTTCCCTCTCCTCTCTCTGTCCTAAAACACCAGATGAGCACGAACATATACAAGAGCTTCAAACCGAGGAGAAAAATCCACATTTTTTTCACTCTCCCAAACAGAAAGTCATCTGTTTAACCCACTTTGTTTCTTTGTACTCACTCACCCGATCTAAGTGTCCTGTTACTGTCTATATCTTCTAAAACCTAAAACCAGAGCCAAGAGGAAGTACAGAAGTCTAGGTTCCTCGTAGAACACTTTGATTTCAATATATCAAAAGGTTATTATCGAATTTTTGCCCAGTGACACTAAAGCAATACTGCCTACCCCAGCATTATATGCACAAAATTATCTTTTGCAACATACAAAATAGCACATATTATTTTACATTATTTAATCGTACGTTCATAGTTTTTGCACTGTTCTTTGTACATTTAATAATTGTCTAACTCACTGTGTGACAGTAGATGTGAGTCAATCTGTAAATAGGTTAACCACAGCACGAGGTGGAGACACAGTGAGCTAAAAATGTAATCGCACTGATCACTTGTTTATTGCAGCACTTGACAATAAAGCCTTTAATAAAGAGCCACAAACCAGTGCATATGCACACTAAAGACCTCCCAGTTAGCTAAATATCATATTCATACCTTAAAACTATAAATACAATACAATATAATAATGCATTTTTAAAAAAACCAAAAACTTATTGGTGATGTGTTCAAGTGCTTCTGGAAGCAATATACAAAACAGTTTAACAAACTTTTAAATCTTGCACACCGGAGCATCCTTGAGTTTTAGAAAAAGGTCTCTGCTTTTCCTCTCAACTGCATCACCAACACAAACAAGTAACAAAAAAAAGTAGCTCCACGTTCACTGTGATGGATCGCTGTCTCAAGCAGGTTTCTTTTCATAACCTACTTACATCAACTTGAAGTATGGCTGTAACAAGAGAACAGCAGGCAGAAGGAAACTAAAATAAAATGAGGTTATATGCTTTGGAGGCTTGTTGGCAAGAATGTAAAGCACGGTCCCCTGAAAAAGCAATATATTGTAAAAAATAATAATAATAATAATAATAAAAAATAAATTAGTGAGTTGCCTCAGAGTGCAGAGGTTTCAAATTTCCCTGAAGCATTTCAGTGTAAAGAAGAAAGCTCATTTCTGCATTGCTGCATACATAATGAACTGCAGGTGTTGCAGAAATGCATCCGCGCCTCTCTGTATTCAAGACATGGGCTTATTTCCATTGTGAGACATGCTTTGTATGAAAAACTTGGTCTGTTTGCTGCACATTGATGGATACCAGTGCAGCTGCAGTGAGCTGGCTGCAGTGTTGCAGCCTGTCTGCCTCTGACACGAACAGCGTCGCAGGCAAACAGGGAGCAGCCATCTTCCTGCTCTGACTTCTACTTTGTCTGCCGCACACTCAAAATAGAGGCAGTGACCTATTCAGATGTGATGAATAATTAAACTCCGAGGCTTTGATTTTTAAAAATTAACACAAAATTCTTTGTTGCTATGGCGCTGACATTCAAGGTGAAGTTAGTCATGGCGCTCATGTTGGGTTGTTATTGGTTGGACAGGCAGCCAGCTTCACCCACAGGCCTTTTTCACAGCAGACATTTTGATTTGTCATAGTAGGAGAAGCACAGGTGTTACTAATAATATCAGCACTGGCTTCCTTCTGCAGAAACCTGCAGCACAAAACCAGGGCTCTAAAACTGAAAAGCTATTATTCATTTTATTATTTATACTTGTACTTTTCTTACTGTGATGTGTCAAAACCTGCCAGAGCGTCTGACTCTGACGCTGCTCTGAGGATGCACATCCTGCATCACTGAAGTTAAAGTAATGGGGCACAAATATGTAGTTTTTTTTTAAACAATAGGCTAAATAATCTCCCAAACCAGCTGTGCTTTGTAGCTCATGGCCAGAATTACTTAAAGAGGGGTAAACTCTGAGGTTTGCAACTGTGGATTAATAGACATTTGGTGCTCTAGAGTCTAGTGAGTGTTTAAAGCAGCAGCAGCGGCAGCAGCAGCAGGACGGAGGTTGTGTGAGTGACTCAAAATAAACTCCAGTGTGTGTTCATGGTAATGAAGGAACCAGAGCAATGCTCTCAAAGAGCTATTTGACACAGTGGAATAAACTTCAGTGCACTCAGAAAAATAAAGGTGCAAACTAAAACTGCTTCTTTGCAGTGATGTCATAGGGGAACCACTTTTAGTTACACAAATAACCTTTAAAGAGCCCCTAAAGCAAAGAACCATCAACAAAAATAGTTCATTTAGGCACCATAAATAATAATGAATGAAGTTATTCATTTAGCACTCTTTGAAAACAAAGTTACAAAGTGTTGTAAAATAAAATAAATGGCATATCCCGAAACAATCCTAAAACAAATAAATTAGAGCAATTTAGCCAAAAATAGGTCCTTTAAGGAGCCATTTTCAACATAGTTTTTTGTGCACCCACCGTCTTCTATTTTAATGAGACTAAATAATCGTTTCAGTCATTTTCAAGTTAAAAATAATAATAATAATAAAACTGGGATCCTTCTTCTTCCCATATTTTGGGTTCTGGACAGTTGGTCAGAGAGAAGCACATAGTCTAAGATGCCAGCTTGGGATTTTGGACACTGTGATTTGCATTTTTGGCTGATTTTTTATACAGCAAATAATTAACTATAATACAAATAATACTTAGCTGCAGCTCTAATTTTATGCCATTACCTGCCATCAAACCAATAAAATGATGACTCTTCAGTGCTTTAAAGAGCCACATAAGGTTTGTAAAGAATAATTAAAACCAACAATTTTCTGAGAGAAAAAAAAAATGCTTTTGGTTGAAAAGTCTTTTTTTGTTTAGCATTTTTTGCCATGGTGAAAAACAAAACAAAACAAAAAAGCCAAACAGAAACTGAACATTATGTATTTGATGCTAAAACCGTGCACCAGCAGATGCAGCAGGTTCTCCCTCCATATCTGTATTATCATCACAGCAGCTTTGTGCAATAACCCATTTAAAGCCGAGTCCACCGCTCTGCTGCTGACGTGCAGCTCAGTCCAGGTCTGATCGGCCAAGGCGGCAGCATTGTAAGGGAAGAGTTTATGGTCTGCATATAACCGGTCGGTCAGTTTGTAGCTCCATTAGTTCCGGATCATCGTCTGTGTGGGTTTTTGGAAAGACGTCAGCGCGTTACATCACTGCACTCATCCTGGGCTGTCATGTGAGTCCCACAAGAGGACGCGAAGAACAGAGGCGATGCAGCAGGATATGCATACATATGTGGGCGTGTGTTTGCATTGGTGTAATAGATCTTTAGCATTGGAGGGGTGGAAATCAATTATTGCTAAGTGCAGCCCGGCATGTGAGACCAGTGGCCTGAGCCGCAGTAGCGAGCTGCTGATGTATCGGGGGTTCTGGGGTTTTAAGACTTGTGTCTGTTAAAAATGCATCAAGTTTATCAAGGGAAGTGAGAGTTCTCTGGGCTCATTAGTCTGAATAAAATAGCATGCTCTGGCATGAAGCGATTCCAGCGTTAAAACCGTTGCCAGTTAATCCATATGAGAGCAGATACTGCCGGGTGATCAAAACTGGAGCTGTGTGTGTGAGACTCTGTGTGTGTGTGTGTGTGTGTGTGTGTGTGTGCATTTTGTATTGGGCTGCCTGAGAGAGGAGGAGAGGGAAAAAAAAGAGCATATGAGTGATGGAGAGAGAGATAAAAAGGCTGGGAGGAAAAAAAAAAAAAAAGAAGAGGATGAGACTGTGCAAAGAAAGGAGATGAGAAACGGAAAGAGAGAGTGATGGGGAGAGAGATGGCGAGCATAATGGGAGAGGAGCAGCGAGGGGCGGTTCTGACCCGAGCTGTTTTTGTGCTGCTTAACGCTGCTGGCAATAGTGTGATCAAACCCGGAAAGACTGAGCCCTACACCACATCCCAGCCCCATAATCCTTTTCTCCGGGGACCCAGATAAAACACGCAGAGGACCTCGTCTTTCTCTCTCATGTTCTTCCACCCTCCCTCGCTCCCTCGACTCGAGAGCACTGGATCACGTACAATTACAAACTCCATGTGAAATGAGCTCTTTGTACTGTGCAAACATGGAGGCAGTTTCGGGAGAAAGCTGCACACAACATCCACTATCAGCACACCCCTGAAACACTGGACCTAATCAGGCTCCTCCACGCCTTGGGAAGCCACTGCAGTTTGGAGTTGAATTAATTAGGCTGGATGTTATCAGTCACTGAGCCATTAGTGATGTTCCTCTTCTCGATGCGTATCTCTTGATATCTCATCAGCCTTTCTCAGCATTTTACATCCAGTCTTATCAACCTTCCCTCTACCTTGGTGCCACTGGGCCGGCAGACTGTTTTCAAACCGGATTTCAGAGCTGCATGTGTACGTGGGATATGTTCGAGTGCGCGTCTGCGTGTGGGTGTGGGAGCTGGTTGTCAGGGACAACGGTACTTACAGCTTTCGATCTCCAGGGTGCAGTTTTGCTCATCCAGAGGGTAGCGGCGCAGGTCCATCATGCAGGCTGCAGTCGTGGTGATCCTAGACACACAGAGTGGGATGAGAAAATATAGGTTTTATCTCAGAGCAGGCCGGCTCATTTCATTTGACCTTCACCACAGAGTGAGATGTACACATCACAGCAGGAACCTGTTTAACTAAAGAGCACCGAAAACTGAGCCGTTCCTCCAAAAAATAATGAGTTTAAATGGAAAATGCCATCAAATCAGTGCATCGAGATGAACTTTCTGAATCCCAGTTCGTTAAAAAGGCATGTTATCTTTTTTTTGTTTTTTTTAATCGCCAAACTTTCACCATTTAGCAGAGACAGAAACAGTGAAAGTTTTTAGACTTTCCAAAGGCTCTTGAATTGATCATCTTTGACATGTCATTTCATCAGAAAATCCAAGCAAATCAAAGCTTAAAATAATCTTATACCATCACATTCACTTCATTCTACATGTCTCATTTAAATTTTGCCAAAAATAAACCATGTGTTTTAACCAGAAACAAAGAAAATTGGAGCAACCGACTCCACTGGAGACTCAGCTGTTACCAACTCCAAAGACATTTTTAAATTCTCTCTACTTCTAGTCGTGGTTGTGCTGTTTCTTTAGAGGTGCAGGACTTTAGATTAC